TGTTCAGTTTTGCGTTTTGCTTCTCATAAAATATCGAAAATCATTCATACATTTTGCCTACTGTTGAGACTTCAAACCGTGTCAGAATAAAAGTAATGAATCATTTTGAATCATGAAGGCAGTGGCAATTTTTGCGGTAGTTTTGCTTTTTGCAATTTTGAATTCTGTTAAAATTTGATCAACCGTTCAACCGTACGTAAATGGTGACACTAGTGCCAAACACGGGGATGTTCCATATATTGCTTATATAGAAGAAAAAAAGACGAATAATAAATTTAAATTAAGACGAACCAGATAAGCCTTTTTCAAATTGGTGCCTATCCACACCAAGATTTAATTCAATTCTGTATTTCATTCGTACATGTCCACACTATTTTAATGGTCTGTGCGCTAAACGCTTTAATACGCATAAATTAAAGTTTTGAATCCGTAGCCATTTTGCATGGAAAACTGTGTTATTGCGTCTATCTGACGCGCTTATACTGTTCGACACACGTTGACATCTATGAATTGTTTACCTTCAATTTTCGATTGTTTCACATTTCCAATGCAAACACAGAGAGCATACACACACACACAGAGAGAGAGAGAGAGAGAGAGAGAGAGAGAGAGAGAGAGCGAGAACACAAAAAAACCAAAACAAAAACTCGCAGATTGGTCGAATTTCCCAACTGTTCGATATTTGCACCGTGGATAATTTTTTCTTCGCTCTTTCTTCGGATTGTATTTTTACTCGTTTTTCTTCCTGTTCGCTTTTGCTTTCAGCTTCACTTTTTTTCTCCAACCAACTGTTTTTCAATCACAAACAATTCTGATTCACAGTCACTGTAACATTACTCATTAATATGCAAGCACAGTAGGAAAAAAAATGAAAATATTAAAGTAAATTAAATGTGCGAACACAGCTTTTGTATGTGTTGCGAAACAACCAAACACACTGTCAGAACATTACTATTGTTTGTGTTCGCCAACAACAAAAAAAAAGCATCAACAATTATTGTAGTAAATAGTAGCAAAAGTAGAGATATTAAGACATAATTACAATCAATTTAAAATATTTCGGTAAACAATCTATGATGGTGAATTGAAATTTTCTTAGCTTTATTTAGATGATGAATGTGAAATTTAGAACAGAGCACGATGAAAAGGATTCGGGTGTTTTATTTGGCAAGATCGTATTTTGTTACATTGTAAATATTTGTATCTAAAGGAAAAATTCGATCGGATGCTGAACAATTTAACAGCATATCCATTCTTTCCCTACTGTGCTGAAATGAAGAAGACGGAGAGAACAGTGAAAGGAAAATTAAGCAAGTAATCCTGCTTGATCATATTAGTCTAGATCGTTTGCATTTTTAAGCTCTGTTTTGCACCTGAAATACGGTCACACAGTCATCTGACGTAATATTATTTAATCGAAAGTTTTATTGCATTTGTTGCGCTATTTGCGCTAATAACAACTCACATCTGTGAAAATCCAATAATTAGTTATAATATGGGGTATGCAATATTGGAAATAAACAATTGTTTCGTCTTGCTTTTTGATGAGGAAATAACCGACTGTGTTCATGCAATCGCAACGCTGGTAAAACGCGATTTTTTTTTCAATTAATCAACCAAATCTAACTGTGAATTGTAATTTTTTTAAGCTTTATTTAAACGAGCACTCTAGTTTGTACATACCCATTTTTGTGTTGCCTTTCTTTGTAGAAACGTTTTATCTGAAGAAAGGGTTATAGTTAGGGAAACTTGAAAACCAAATTCAAACGAGTGGCAAAAATATTTCAATTGATTGAATTGAAATGAAAATATCCAACATAAAATTGGCATTATTATCATTGATTTTATATATCAGCGTTGCGTCAGCAATAAGATTCTTAGGATACCGCGCATCTCCACGTGGAATTGAAGACTCTGTTAAAACTGTTATCGATGGTTTGTCATATGTTGCATTGATATCATATCAAACACCGGATAGAAGTAAGAATTACTTGAAAGAATTTTTATAAATTATTTTATTTAATTATTTTTTTAATTATTTTTCTTCTTGGAAAAAAGAGTCAATACGCGGTGGCGCCATCCTTTCAAAAAAAAACCATATTGACATCCTCATATTGTACATTTTCTTGTGAAAAAGAAAAATGTGAGGTTTTCGTTGGAACGGTAAACACTAGATCAGGCACACGAGTTGCTGTTCAAAAAGTTATCAGACATAATTCAGTGGGAGATAAACTGCCAGAATCCAATGATAAAGACCCGAAAGACAACATCATTGATTTGAGTCTTATTATAGTGGATGATATAATAACATCGGAATCCGTTAAATTCTCTGAACTGCCAAAAGAAGACTTCACAAGTGGAAGAATTTTGATGACTGGATTATCACTGATGAATCACTTCGCGAATTATTTTTCGCTGCATTTTTTATGACTTCGAAAAATGTAGGAATTTCTTTCCAAATGGTGTGAATCTTATGATTTTTTTGCCCCTTCGAAATTCAAAGGGCGACAGAGTTCTCAAATTGGGATGCATTTGATTCACTCAGATTCACTATATTTGTCCATATTCATCACGATTGGTTTACAGTTTAATGATGAATCTGTGTGAATCTAAATGTATATATCTATTCGTGAGACGTAAAAGAATATATGTTCTTTTGTCGATTTATATTTTTGAAAAGGAAAGTATGATTTCTGTTGATTCTATCTGCGTTAAAAGGAAGTATGTTGGCATCCCGTCTAGCCTCCGCGGTTTTTCACGGCTACGAAGTTGGACCAACTTGAGTTCTTTTACGTCTCACTAATAGATATGGGAGTTTGTTCGAATTCGAAAAAATGGCTTGAAACATACAAGCTGCATTGAATGATAAATTCCCCTAGGAAAATTTGGAAGTTGCAAGTACAGAAGGAAAAGCTTGTGAAGGAAAAAGCGGGTACATCTGCCCTACGTCAGAAATAGCATTCGCTTGCAAAGATTTCGGTAAATAAGGAATTAACTGGATTTATACATACATAACTTGGTTAATTTGTTCCATTGTAATTTAATATTTTTCCAGGTTTTCCACTGATTTATCGCGGAATTGTATTTGGGATATCTACATTTCATACTGAACAGGTAAAACACTAAAAAAAATTACCAAATTTATTGCATACTAAGTATTTTGACTCTCTTTCGTATTTCAGTGCAAACCAGGTATGCAACTTTTGAGGGTGAAAATCTGAGATTTATTTTGAATATTGACACACAATTTAATGTGTTATCTAAAAATTTGTAGGGAACGATATGGCTTATGTAGGAGTATTTCCATATCTAAGATGGATCAAAAGCAATATGGCATAGCCAGTACTTTGGTAGTTGCTGCTGGTTGCATTAAACAGTGGCTTGTTTGAAATTCACAGCCAAAGATATATGTTTCGATATCAAATAATACGAATGATTCCATTTTTGAAGAAAAAGAATAAACAGTTGAATTTTTCAAAAATGTAGAAAACAATGTTTTAATTGAAACTTCATCTGTGTTTGTTGCAACTTGTATTGCTAATTAGTTTGACACAGCAATAATTTCCTTGATTGATGTGTCATAGATCCGAAATATTGAGTTCGTGGGCATTAGGCTGTACGGGAACTCACCGATCTTGAATCAACATAGCTCGTTTTATACGTTACACATTATAGAACATTTCAGTGAAGAAATTTTTCGAAAAAATAATTCCTCGCGATCAAAATTGAAGAAAACGAAAGTAATCAATTGAAAGGTTTCGCGTCGAAAGGGCAAGATGGCCAAATACATTTCAATACTTTCACAAATTGCTGTTTATGCGATACTTCTTACTCACAACGACACGCCCTGAGTGTGAGTTTGTTCTTGAACACATTGACGAATTATTCAAATTTAAATCTATAGTTCGATAGCTGTCAAAGCTGTCATGCTTTGATTTTTACGTAAACAAAAACACCAGTCACGATTTTTACATGAGTTATCCCATTGAATGGAATTAATGTTGAACGTTTTGTTTTAATGAAACTTACGTTAAGCAATTAAAATCATAAAAATTTTAAATCTGTAATTAAAAAAAATTGTGATTTAAAATTTTTATGATTTTAAT